ATACAAAGAACAGTTACAGTATGTTTATAATTTTAATGAATTCCATCTCTCCATAAAATAATATTAATAATACTGAATAAAGAAGTAGGTATTAAAAACAAAAGATCTGGAGGCATTTTATTGGTCTAGCATTAAATGAAAAATTTTGAGATAAAGGCCATATATTAGTATTTAGAGTGAATACTGCCAACCAAAAATGCTAACAGAACATATTACTTAAGATTCTTTCCAGGAGCTTTGATTTGCTACGAACCCATTTGCCTTAGAAGTGCAACTTTGCAAGTTATTTTGAAACCTTAGCAATTCCTGCATTCTGACAAAATTACAGTTTCAATTAACTCATCTAGGTATTTAGATTTGCAATTAGCTACTCATTACTCACAGGGGAAAACATTTTTCAATTAAAAAAATCGAACAATTATAATGTTGTTGCTAAAATAATGAAACAGCACATTCTGCCTGGCAGAGATCATCATTTAGAGAGACCCTCTTCTGCACCCACATTGTTCAAGTTGTGGGAACAGCAAGAAAACCATAATGAGTCTCCATTTTGGAGGTTCACACCATCAGCAAACCTGTCCAATGCTGGAGATGGAGAAAGAAGAGTGATGCACTCACATACTGTGGGCCAGGTTTGGGCTCAATGGCCTTGGGCATACTTGGACAATATACTTTTCCAAGCCAATAAAAAAAATCAATACAGTAACGCAACTTTGCCAGCGTAAACTGGGACCTAGGCCAACGTCTCTTCACATAGGAGAGATACCGCCAAAACATCAGAGGTGAGCTAAATTCTGATGCGCAGCATTTGCAGAAGACCTTCAGCTCTAGTCTTCATTGTTTACCTGGCAGAAGTTATCTGCCCTCTGGTAACAGTCCCCTTTAGGATTTGGGAATGAGCTTAGCATTTCAAATATGCATGAGAAATGGAAAACCTGCAATGCCTGAAAAATAGAACAGACCGGTTCCCTCACTAGGCTGCAAGTGAACGAATAAAAGGAATAAGGAAGGGAACGAATCAAAATATAACCCCTCCTGCTCTCCTGCTCTCCAGGTATCAATCACTACAGACCATGTATGTGGGCGAATGTTTAATTAACTACCTATCAATCTTAAAGTTTTCAAAGTGCTGTCATGCCCCTCGGGCTGCAAGTCTTCTGTCTACTTTCCTCTAGCTATCTGCAAGGGTTTAATCTGCGTCTTGGTGAAACTCATAAAAAGGGGAAAGCAATTCCACACAAGATCTCTTTAGCCAAACTGCCTCCACTTTTGCCTGCCCACTCTGCCCACTTCCTTTGATCCACCCTGCTGTGACTACTCCTTTGGCCTCTTATTCCACCCATGACTGGAAGCCCTAAGAATGTTAGTCTGCACACCTTCAGCCAAGTTTTTTTGTATTTCATAATATTTTTGGAGATATGACTGTCATAAGAATTAGTCCAATTATAACAACCTCCTGCCACTCTCATCATTCTTCTATAAGCTGGGCCCTCATCAAGAGCACTGTGGTATCTGACATTGCTACACTTCCCATATTATTGCAGTAATGCCTTTTAAAGTATGTCTGCATGGACTCTACTTGAGGTTCAGAAGTTCAGAGGTGGGTCATAGGCTCCCTGAGATAAGGCTTCCTGATTTTTTTTCTAGAATGAGACTTTTGATCCAGAACTTTATATCTATAAAAATACATTATATATATGTGATTTATAAATGATTTTACACAAATTGTACTAACTCATTTCTATAAGATGCCTGAAAGCATCTTTTTTTTTTTTGCTTTTTGGGTCACACCTGGAAATGCACAGGGGTTCCTCCTGGCTCTGCACTCAGGAATTACCCCTGGCAGTGCTCAGGGGACCATATGGGAAGCTGGAAATCGAACCCGTGTCAGATGCATGCAAGGCAAATGCCCTACCCGCTGTGCTATTGCTCCAGCCTCCGAGAGCATCTTTTTTAAAAGAGAGGAGACTCATTAAAGTCCAGAAATTAGTCAAAGGCATTTCAGATCACATTCAGCCACGAACAGATGAGGATTTAGCACCAGGCGTTGGCGATTCAAAGTTTGACTCAATAAGCCATATGCAATATTCTATAAATAGAACTATATAACCAGAGACAATGTTTGCCACTGCAATTTTGATTTCTAGAGATATAAGAAAATTTTACTTTTAGTTTACAATGCAATCCTTAATTAATATCTTAGCATAAAGTTTGAAGAATGACAAAATAAGTATAAAAAGTAATTATTAAATGATTAGTAAGTTTAAGAAGATTGTAGGAGATAAGGATAACACACACAAACATTTATATTCTATCAATGATTTAGAAATGAGGAAAGTGAAGTGATAAAAACAATGCTATTTATAATAACATCACAAAACATAAAGTTATAAAGTACTTTCAGAGATGTATAATGTTCATATACTGAAAATCCTTGGTTGGGGCTAAAAGGAAACTATGTAAACAGAGAGAGATCTATATAGAGAGTATCTTTATGAATCAGAAAACTAAGTTAATATATCAATTCTCAACAAATTTATCTATAGATTCAACACAACTCAAACCAATAGACTAGAATTTTTAAAAATAAATATTGACAAGTTATTCTAAAATTTGAAATATGAAAAAGCAGAGGAACTAAGTACACCAAACAACTGATTAAAAAAAAAACCTAGTTGGAATAATGACATCGTGAGAATCCATCACACATATAAAGTTGTATAATCAAGTCTCATCTTTGAAAGGAGAAACACACAGATAAAAGAAATAGACTAGAATATAAAAATACATGGTTGACAATTCTCAACCAACTGGGCTGCATTTTAATACTGGGGCCTAAGGACCCTGCTGGTGTTGGTGTACTCTAGGGTACGCGTGACCATGGGCTCCCTTACTTCTGCACTATTTCTCTGGCCCTTCTTGGTTTTGTTTTTATAGGCCTTTCTCAGTGTGGCTCTATGCTCGGCAGATCCTTCAGGTCATGATAGGGGGCCCATGAGGTGATGGAAATGAAACCAGGGACTCCCTTGTCAAAAGCACACACTCCAATCCTTCAAAGTATCTCCCTAGCCCTTGGTGGTTTCTGAGAGAGCTAAAATAGCACATAGTATGTGGGTTGCATATCCCATCCCTCAGAGTTTACTCAAAAGAAATGAAAATTTATGCTCATATAACTCCTTGAATAAGAATATTTAATTAGCATTTTAGTCACTCCAGCCTAGTACCCAAATGGCCTTAAACTGCAAAAGAATAGGTAAAACTGCAAGATATCAAGCAATGAAAGACTACTTAGTGACTGTTTCTGTTAATAAATACACATAAATACACCTTCAATGCAGTATGAAGTGAAAGAAGATAGACTCAAGAGGCACGATTTCAGTTATCTAACCTGGAGAAGGCAAAAAACTATAGCAACAACAACCAAACGACAAAAAAATATGGGTAGAGGGAGATGAGAAGGGGAAGGGGAGTCAGCAAGATGAGGAGGATGAAGAGGATGAAGATAAGGAAGATGTTTTGTATCTTGTGTGTAGCATTTATCAAAGATCGAAGCTGCACATTAGAGATAGATGTTTTCTGTATATGTCACTTACATATCTAGTATACACATCATCTTGATTTAGAAAACTTTTCTATTAATTCTATGGGAGAAGTAACATATTACAATTAAAATATAAAAATAATTTTCCTTTAAAAAATGTCAACTAGTAAAAAGACCCTTAGTTAAAACTAAGAGGGAAGTTGTAAGATGAGGTGCAGATTGAACTGCTCCTATTTAGAGGAAGGTGTCCTCTGTTTGGGCTGTTTCTTTTTCTTTCTTTTTTCTTAGAATCTTAAAATATTTATTTTTTCCACTAAGCAACACTCATTTGCATCACTACAGGTGGAACTGTTACTGATTTGTATTACAGCTTTCTTTTTAAAAATTAATTATTTATTATTTATTTTTGTAATGGATCCCCTGTGAGGTGCAGTTACAGACTTATAAACTTCCGTGGTTATGTTTCAGTCATACAATGCTCAGCACCCCAGAATGATGTTTGGGCTGTTTCAAGGCAAGCATCTTAACCCTAGTTCTATCTCTCCAGCCACATTTTTAAATGCCCAAGTAGAATGTGCCAGAAAGAACACTGAACTATAAACTGTGGCGAGTACTTCGTTAATCTAGTTCAGCTTATAACTAGCTGTGGGACATTGGAAAATGACTCACTTATCCCCCTGAAGGAACAGTTATCTCCAGCTCTGACCTCTCTTCAGGGCTTTTGTTTGGAAACTTCACATTCCTACACAGATACCTATAGCCCTTCACATGTAACTGCTCAGGGATATTGATTACATTAGTATCTTTTATTATCACCCAAATTGCAGCTGGGAGTAATTTGCTCAGGTGTTCATACTTCATTTCTTCAACTAGATTTCTCCAGATATAATTTCTTAAGGGGAAAGAAATTATCCCTAAATACATATTTTTTTCTAATAACATATTTCACATAGCAAGGACTTAAATAGTCCCGATTACTGATATCATTATATGTGTTTACACAAGCCAGTTGGTTGATATAAACACCTGACTTTGCAAACAAACAAACAAACAAATAAACAAAAACAACCAAGCTGGATATGCTCAAAAAGTGTCTCAGTAATTTTCCTGCACACTTAGGAAGGGCAAATTGTGTTGCATTCTCCCACTAACCCATCTACATCCTAATCACATCTTGATTTTTTTTTTTTTGCATCATTTAACGCTGAGAAAACCTTCACCTCTTTCACCCTTCCTCCTTTCCTCAATATATTTTCTGATATCCCTTACTAGGATTTAAGCTCCATGTTATCTGGGGTTGATTATGTGGATTATATCTAGAGCCTGGACCCATGCCTTGCATGCAGGAGGCACTCAATACATTCTTGCTCAATCACTGAATTTGCTCCTCAATACTGAGATGCCTCCTGGAGACTGACTGAGCAAAAGAAAGAAACAAAAACGTCTCAAAATGTTTTACCTGCAAAGAGGTTCTACAAGGTCCTTTTCAAGAAAATCATGATCATTCTTGACAGCCACAATGTTGATGGGAAACTGTGAATCTGAAGGAGAAAAAGAGAGACAATGGTCTTTATGTGTTTTGTTTTATCTGAATGGGCACCAGTATCCCCAGGTTGCCACCTTTATGTACAAATCACTGATCTTAATAGCAGTTACTTTTCACTGATGGGTGTTTTGGTAATGTTTAAAATAGAAGCTTTATTTTTATCACAATAAATGCTTTCAGTGTACAGAGAAGTGTGAAATATGAGAATAACCAAATACTTAACCTTGGACAAGATGAAATACTAAGTGCCTGCATTTTTACAGTTCATTATTATCAAAGACATTGGCCTGCTTGGAGAAGAGCTTTTATACTTTCGCCGTCTCCTGAAGACACAGGTCACTGCCTTCTGTCCTAACAGTTCATGAATTATTTAATTTGGCAGATTCCTTTTTTCCCCTCAGAAGGGAAATTCCTAAAAATGCCCAAAGCTCTATGGCCTCAAATATTTTCTTTTGTAGCAAAAATTCTGAGTCACTTTTCAAATATCAGCAAAACTACTCTTTCTCTAAAGAGAAAAAGAAACCCGATGACATGACTTCTCCCACAGACTCTTCATGGCAATGGTGAGGTCACAGGTAATACAGTATTCACTTTAGGGATTTCAGTTGCAGAGGCAAAAATATGGAGATCACTGTAATAGAGGCCATGGTCAAACCTAGCAATACTAATTCATTATTCTTTCTCATGCTCATGTTTTTACACTGTCTCTACTATGCCTATGATAATAAATATGAGTATCTAAATCTTATGTGAATTAGAAACAGAAACAGTTCCTCTTCTGGTACAAAAAATAATAATGTAAGTGAATTCCAGATGGTATCAGAATGAAGACTACTCACCCTGCTTGAGAGGGTGTGTGTGTGTATGTGTGTGTGTGTGTGTGTGTGTGTGTGTGTGTGTGTGTGTTTGCACATGTGAGTGAGAAATATAGAAAGAGGTCCAGCTGCCCCCATGTTGAGTCTTAACTGCCACTTCCGTGCTGTAGAACTATAAGTCAAGTACCTAACCTCTTCTGGGCCTCTGCTTTATCATCTGTAAAATGGAAATAATGGGATTAAACCCACCATAACGTGCTGTAAAGAATAAGTGACTATCATATGTAAAAATCCTTAAACATAATTGCTTATTAGCACATAGAAAGCTATATATAAACATTTTCTCTCCTCTTTATTACATTTATGCAATGCACGTGGCTTACAATAATCTGACAAGGACATTTTACTTATGAAATATCTTCTTATTCATTTATGACCTCTTCATATTTAAATCTCATAATATTTTGAGCTACAAAGGGGGTTCACAGTATAGCAGAAAATGCACAGCATCAAGCTCCTCTAGAGATGAATATTTTGATTCTAGCTCTCCCCGCTTCTAACTCTGGAACCACCACTCATCTCTTTGGGTGGCTCTTTTATGTCAGTAAACTGGTGGACTTATGTGGGAATGAGAATCATTTATAGCAAAATTCAAATGTCACTCTCTTCATAGTAATACTCTATGAAACTTTTATCTGAGTTCCAAAGTTTGTTCAGGAATAATCTCTTCTTTATCTTACAGAAGTAAGACATGTATTTCTTTTAAACTATAAAAATGAGGGGCCTGAGAGATAGTACAGAGAGAAGGGCAATTGTCTTGTCCATGCTCAGACCAAGTTGGATCTTCAGCATGCTCTAAGTTCCCCCAGGCACTGCCAGGATTGATTGCTGAGTGCAGCACTGAAAGTAAGCCCTGAGCACTGCTGGGTAAGACCCCAAACCTAAACCAAACAAACTATAAACTGAGCTTCACTCAACTGGATGACATTCACCAGTGAGTAAATTAATTTTGTTGGTTCTTTCCATCCTTTGCAAATTTTGTGCCATCAGGAAGCTGATACTGCTGGAATGCTAGAGATACTCTGGCTAGCCCGCAGGCCCACTCTCCACTTCTCTCTGTAGAAGTGGACACAGGAAGGGAGGAAGAAATGAGGGTATTTCTCCATGAGTGGATGCCCCTTGCTACCTGTGTCCTTTAGTCCTAGGACCTGCTCTCTGATTTCCTTTCTTCTCGCTCTGCCTCTCCCTCTGGCCTTGACAGTGACAGCTCTGCAGTTGGGCTGGGCTCCTGCTCTCCCTCAGAACTTCCGAGATCCTGTCCACAATTTCATAATGTACAGTTTTTGAGTTAAGTCCATCACAGATGATCTCCAGTGTGCTGTCTTCTTACTCTCAGGGTCCTAACTAGCTCATAATATATAAAGGCTACTCAAAAAATCCTCAAGGAGTTGGGGAGAGAGTAGGGGGTACAGTGCTTTCCTTGCATGTGCCTGACCCCAGGTCAATCCCTGGCACCACATATTGGACCGTGAGCACTATCAGGAGTGACCCCTGAGCACAGAGTCAGGAGTAAGCCCCAAGAACAGACAGGTGTAGCCCTCAAAACAAAAACAAGACACTCAAAATTTAGTAGTTGAAATCTTTGCTTTGTACTTTCAAGAAAATAGAGTATTGAAGAAAAATAAAAACAAAGAAAGAGACTAAAGATGGCAAGGAATAAATGTTTCTCATATCAGAGAAAGTCTTTTGGTTGTTTTAGCTTTTGATTTTTGTTTTGGTGGGGAGACGGAATCTTCCCAGCTATACTGAGGACCACCAGAACTACAGCTGGAGGTACTTGGGAGGCCACATGGTCCTGGAGATAGAACCTGATACCTGTGCACACAAGACAAAATGCTCCAGTCCTCTGAGCTCTGTCTCCACCCCCAAATACTCATTCTTAAAGTTTAATTTTTCATTTGGTTATCTTTATTTATTTGGAGGGGGTGCCACACCCCGAGGTAGTTAAGGGACCACGCGGTACAGGGAATCAAACCCTGAGTAACTCTGGATGGTCAGCACAGCTAGAGCTGAGACTATTGGTTCAAGCACAAAGCTCAAAGCAGAGAGCAAAGACACCGGAAATGAGAAGCTATGAGGAGTTGAAAGTAAAGTAGATTTGAGGAGCAGCAGTTTTCTCTAAAGGGTCATCAAGTCTGAGTCTCGGGCATCACAACGGCTGAGGGAAAGAAAAAGAATAGTGACCAAGCAGAAACTTGGGAACCACAATCCACCAGAGTCTGCCCATTTGGAATGTATTCTCACTCTTCTGAGCGAAGGGAATGACAACATACCCTCATATAACTGAGCGTATTGTGGGAATCCAGCGGCGCGCAGCCAGTCACATGCTTCCTTCGCCTCAATTTCTGAAAAACATAAGAAAGGAAAATGTGTTCAGTCCATAGGTCACAAACCAGCACCCAACTTTCTTAGTCAAAGAGACTGTGTGTATTGTGCAACTTATTACAAAGCAAAATTGTTCTCAGGTAAGTCTGTTTAAGTATCCTCTCGTTGTTCATCGATTTTCTCAAGCGGGCCAGTAACGTCTCCATTGTGAGACTTTGTTGTTACTGTGTTTGGCATATCGAATACATCACGGGTAGCTTGCCAGGCTCTGCCGGGCAGGCGAGATCCTCTCGGTAGCTTGCTCTTGGGCTCTCCGAGAGGGGCGGAGGAATCGAACTCGGGTTGGCCATGTTGGCTGCGTGCAAGGCAAACGCCCTACCGCTGTGCCCAGAAATGGGTGCAAAATGAGCAGGTATCACAAAGGTACTTGTTATGTGTATGCTTAAGATTATCTTCAATGTTTTGGAATAATAATAAAACCACAGATTACAGCAACAAAAGCTTGAGTTTTAGGCAGGGATATATAAACATGTTATTTATATACCAGAGAACTGGGAGACTGACTTGGGTAGAAGGAAGAAATAGATGTTCCTTATGAATTTGCCTTTAATGATTTGTATTAAACTTTTAATCTACATTTCCTCATGCTTTCACTCTTGGGATAATGAAGAGACAACACAACTGAGTAGTCTGGGGGTGGGGGGAAGTGTTTTCTCATGGAGAAAAGCATTACGAAAAATCCAATTATTATTATTCCTTTCATTTGACTAATGTCTTTAATTCCCAATGCCTACAACAAGAGGTTCATTCATTAAGCACAATAGAATGATTTCAAGCTGCAGAATTGCACATGCAAAGTAAAGCTGATTATCCCGAATTGACACACGCATTTGATGGAATTGCTAGAATCTCTGTAGGCCAAACCCAAGAAGTGATAGGTCTTTTGGGTGATGGATCAGTGAGGATCTACAGAGAGTGTTGGGAGCCACCTGACTGGGGAGACTGTGGAGTGGGAGGGGAGAGACCACAGCACGTGAACCAGGCCACTTTTTAACCTTGCAAACCCTGGAGCACTTCTCAACCACAACTCTGTTAGACAAATACGAATGCAGGGAAAGAAAAGTCATCTGGTAAAAGTTCAGTGCCTCAAAACAAAATTAAACAGCCCATTTGAACAGGTCTCCATCAAGCTCCTTTCTCTGCTGTTGGATGAGATTTCTATCTACTCTGCTTTACCATAGAATCAGAATTTCGGAAGCAGCGTTTTGGGGACCAGTGCACAAACATGCTCTATGCTCATATCTGTGGCGGGCCTGTGAGAGAAATAGATGCTCAAACCCACCAGCTGTGCAGTAATGCTCAATGCAACCGAGCTCCTTGGTGTGCATTAGTATAGAGACCAAAGGAGACCTTGCACAGCTCCACAGGAAGAGCAAATGCTTGTATTTCTGCTGATCACATAGTGAGTTTGTGATGAAATTTGGAAACAGAGCCTGTGGTGTTCCCTGTATCAGGGGGCCTGTTCCTTTGTGTACCCCCCCCACCCCCCGCTGTCACTCAGGGATAAACACTTTTGAGATTTTCAGTGTTTTCTCTTAAATGAAGGTGTGTGTATAGAAACATAATTAGGGACCAGAGCAAATAGTACAGCAGGTAGGGTGCTTGCCTTAAATGAGGCTGACCAGGGTTTGATCCCCAGCATTCCTGAGCATGGCCAGGTGTTATCACTGAGCTCAGAGTCAGGAGTAAGCCCTGAGCACCACTGGTGTAGTCCCTCAAAACAAACACCCATTAAAAACATAATCGTTGCCAACATCTATGCATTTCTGTCATGTGCACATCATTCAGAACTACGTGGGGCATCAAAGATGGAGGTAAAAACCTGAAAAATTATTTTTATCAAGGGCGTATCTCTGTAGTTCCAAATGGACCTTCAACTGAATGTCCTATTTGTTTTGTTTTTGTTTGTTTGGGATTTGGGGGACACACCCAGAAATGCTCAGAAGTTACTCCTGGCTCTGCACTCAGGAACCACTCCTGGTGGTGTTTGGGGGCCATCTGGGATGCTGGAGATTAAATCCAGATGGGTTGCATGCAAAGCAAGCACCTACTCTCTAGGCTATTCCTCTGAACCCTGAATGTTCTATTCGGGCTTACTTTCCTTTTTCTTCAAAGTGCATTTACTCTTGACTCAAGAGCTCTAGTCAGTACTTGTTTAAGAACCTCTCTGTGAAGGTTTCCACTAGGATAACCACACAAGCACTTCAGGAAATGTAGAAAATGCACATTTCGAGGACTGGGACTTGTAGTTATTGTACTGAGTCAAACATGGCCACAATCTAAAATTTCAAGCTTCAGATTTGTCTTTGACTTCAAAATAGTACCATTTTGAAGATGAGAAACGGACAACTACACAATGAGAAAAAGAGGGGTTCTAGACCTGTTCAAAGTTTAATTCTGAACAGTCAGCTTCTCTTAGGTGCACAGAATTCTGTATTTTCTATTTGAACACCATGAAGAATGAGCACTGGTGGAGGGACGGGTACTCGATCACTGTATAACTGAAACCCAAGCACAAAAACTTGTAAGTCCACAACTGTACCTCATGAAGTTTCACTAATAATTTTTAAAAAAGAGAATGCCTGTTCTTATTACTTTTGCTTACCATCAGAATGGAATGTCAAGCAAGAGAGTCCCAAAGGACAGATGATGAAGAACAAAAGGAGATGACCTGGAAGGCAGGGAATCCCCGCCGTGGAGAGTGGAAAGGGAACTTACTCAATGTGTGCACTCCAGCAGCTCAGGGCAGGCAGGGGTTCAGATGCTGAAGCAGAAAGGATAAGGAACTAGGGCCAGACAGAGGTGCGTTCTTACAGAAAAACTCCTCTTGGAGATGATTCTGATAGGGCAGGGGAAGAGGGCTCAGTTCTGTCTGGGATATAGAATTCAAAAGGACGTTCTAGATAACTTCCATTCTGCCCCCCCACCCACCTCCAAGAACAATGTAGATAACAAATAGATAAATTCTATCTGCCCATAAATACAAATAATCAAATCTTAACCAAGTCATTGTGCTGAATCAAACATAAAAGACCACATTCTAAAATTTGGTCTTTTTGCAGCTAAATTCAACCTGGAAACTAAGAGGATTTTTAAGAGGCAGGAGGCATTTGACTTTTAAGTCTTAGACTCAAAGGGAAACAATAACTTCAGTTAATAAATAAAGACAGACTAGAAGTATCCATGCTCCACCATGGCAGATGGCCCTTCTGCATTACTCAACACACCCAACTGCTTACTCTACTTCTGAAATGTCTCCTGAGTGCCCTCCCTTTTCTAGCTGCAGGCTAAGTCCTTGCTATTGAAACTGAAGGGCGAACACACCCTTGGTTTACCACTTGTGACAAAGCAACAAACATAATAATCAGGCATAATGATTATCAAAACTGGATTAGCACATCAAGTTAAGATGGAGGGAAAAAAGGAATCTTACAGTTTCATGGATTCATGACAGTCCCCACTAACACTTATCAGCCGAATGTTAATGTTTTCCCTGGGATATATTATATCCTGACAGTGGTCAAAATGATTACAGCATTAAAAAGGAATCATTATTGCTAGTGTCATCATTTCACAAAGATCCTCCTAACGAGGTTTAAACGAGGTTTGAGAGTGTGAAAATCTCTTTTTTCCCCCCTGTACTGTTGCTTGTCAGCATAATATTATGTAAAAGCTTTAAGGGTCATTAAAATCACAATTTGACAGTTCTATTTTGTTCTCCATTTGCTACCCATATCTGCTTCCACAGCAGCTCCAGGACGATAACGCAAATCATCAACTTATTCCAAGTCTCCTGAGAAAACTTAAGTATGGACTGGGACCAGAGACTGCCCTTAACACAGAGAGCAGCCCCTCATCTCAGCCACGGCAAAAAAAATCGGATCACTGGAGAAAAACCATTCTAGTTGGAAAAGTCAATCTGAGTGGACATATCTTTTTTACCTATTCATTATCCTTCACCATTCATTTCCTTAGATAACAGAATCTGAAACTCTTTATTTTACGAGCTTTTTCTAACCAATTTTTCATTAGTGGAAATATAGATTGGTGCAGCCATTTTGGAAAACAGCATGAAACATCTTCAAAAAACTCAAAATAAAATTATCCTTTGAAGGCCATTGAGACAGTTCCAAGAGCTAGTGTGCTGTCTTGCAGCAGGAGTCCTGGGTATGATTCCCGGCATCCCAGGGTTCCCTGAGCACTGCCAAGAGTAGCCCTTGGGCAAGCTCAAAACAAAAACAAACACAATTACCTTATCCCACTTCTGGGAATCCATATGAGGAAAATGAAATCATTAACTTTAAAAGTTACATCTACCCTTGCATTTACTGCAGTATTATTTACACTAGGTAAAATATATAACTATATACACAATGGAATTCTGTTCAGTTATATGAGAAGCCAAGAAGATTTTGCCATTTTCAGCAGAAAGGAAAGAACTCAAAGGGGTAATGTGAAGAGAAGTAAATCAGAAGGAAAAAAATAATCTATTATTAGACGTTTTTTAAATGTATACAAATAATGAAATAAAGCAGATGAATTGGACAACACAAAATAAAAACAAACCCCTGGACTTAACCATAAAACTGAGGTTACTGAGGGGACAAAAAGTGAGGGTATCTAATGAATGATGAAGGGTGGTAATGTTTTACATTTATTTTTGGAAAAAACAAACCCAGCTTCTTCTATAGAGTTGGGATGAGGGCTGTCACACCTCCTCATTCCTAAAACATTCTTTGCTTCTATCATCACCACATACCATCTATCCCCGGAGTCTTAGGAGAATAAGTAGTTTTTGGATCTTAAAGTCAATAGTTACTGGGAGACTGAAAACTAGCTGAAAAGGGAAGGACTGTTTATTTAACTGTATTGTTACTGCACAAACCCCAAGTTCTTTAATAAATTCAGAAGATGTCTTGGGTGCTAGTGTGCTCTGCTGCCACTCATCTCCGATCTTACT